ATACATATATCAATACACAGATGCAAGTAAATAATTACAGATATATAAATATAGACGCATAAAATGCAAATACAGTCATCTAAATACAAGCATTTTTATACAGACATATACATACATACATACCAATACAGACATGCACATACACCCAGAATAACATATCATCTTTTGTCGCCCCTCTGATAGCTAACCTTGCCCATTGTGGAGGAGGAGCAGCAAGTGATTCGTGAGCAGTCGGTGTCGGCTATAATGGATCTCGAGGTGAGAGTATACAAACGAAGGCCATTTCTGTGGTTTGTTGTCTTCTCATGCAACGTTAGCGGATTATGTATCTAAAAAGTACAGTCGCTATGGGCATTCACCTATTGTGTATAGTACAATCCCAATTCGTCTATTGTGTGCGATACAATCCCATTGATACACAGCTTCAGATTAATTTGCGTTTTTCATTCTACCGTGTACCGTATTAAAACTGTCGTGTACCGGTTTTAAATTTGTCGTGTACCGGTTTTAAATTTGTCGTGTACCGCTACTACATCGCAGTATATGGTCGCCAAGTGGGATGAGTTCGACGACGTGTCTGTAGACGTTAATGAGGAGAATGAGAAGGCGAGCAAAGCCCTGCGAACAATTGAGGAGATGCTCGGAGATGTTAAAGATGTGTTAGAGATGCAGGACGACCGCTTGGAGGTGGCTACACAGCGCATGATGGTGTGTGCAGAGACAGGGATAGGGACACAGACATGCACGCGCGTGTGTGTATGTGTATGTTGATACAAGCACAGACATGGACGCATGTGTGTGTATATGCATGGTGGATATGATGTATATATATGTTAATATGGACATAGACGTACACGCATGTGTGTGTAGGCGCATTGTGGATGTATATGTGTGTATACTCTGATAGTATACTTTTGCTACAAATGAATATACGGGGATAGGCACAAGTACAAGTCCTATATACGTACATACCATACGTAAAAGGCATGTGTGAAGTGTATGACATTCGCCTGCGCACACATTCCTTCATGTGCGCACTCCCAATCATGGCGAGTATTCACACACCATAAAAGGTTCCGCATCCTCCACAGTGCATGCCCCTCTCGGCATGCACGCCTGCAGGTGATAGTGCGATGAAACTCACTCACACCTGACAGTCCGGTACAGATGGGGAGTATCTAATCTCTGCGCACACCACTTCCGGTTTCATTTACTTCCGCACAACCCGTTCTGTTTCATTCACTCACTGGCACGCGATAGCATTGTCACTCTTCCCACAGGTTTTTATTGTGCAGGGTCTACCCTTGACAGTTTTGGCAGTGTCTGGCAGTGTTTTGGGAGTGTAATGGAGCACGCAATCTCCCATTTGTGCTATACATCCTGCTTAAATATATCCTCATCCGCCCTGACTACGGCAGTCGCCTGCAAAAAGCGGCTGCTTTATATACCAGCTCGGAGATATTATGCAAAGCCAATGTATAGCACTCGATATGCAGTCCCCTATGCTTATATGCCCCCACCCGATGGTTTACCCCACAGGTGTTCATCAAGCAGCGGCCGCCTTCCTGGGTAGTTCGGTACTGCTGGGGGATGCTGAGTCTATTTATAGCACTTGTGCTGTCCACGGTTGTGTTTGTGGTGCGCGTCTGGCGCCCGGTACGCACCATGAATCAGCGTGTGCTGCAGCATTTGAACATCATTGCCCCAGCCCAGCCTAGAGAAGTGCTTGATTCTGGTTTCGGTATGTTGGCTACGGGTTTATGGATCGAAACACACGCCTATGAGTTTTATGAATGTTTTCACATTTCTGTGTCTATATTTAGGTAGCATAGTTTTCTATATTATATACTATATATATATATATATATCCCATACAAAGATTTGTGAGCGTATCCACCTCGTGCCCATATACTAAGAGAAAGAGAAAAGGGAGGGGGGGGTGACTACACACACTGTGTGTAAATACGTGTCTATGTATGGCGAACACTTTCTACGATTTTCTGGGTGTATGTCGATATTCTCATTGACACACGTGGTCAAGTATATACATACTTGTCATATTGTCCGCATGTAATCACATTGACACACGTGGTCAAGTATATACATACTTGTCATATTGGCCGCGTGTAATCACATTGACACACGTGGTCAAGTATATACATACTTGTCATATTGATTGCGTTTAATCACATTGACACACGTGGTCAAGTATATACATACTTGTCATATTGACCGCGTGTAATCACATTGAAACACGTGGTCAAGTATATACATACTTGTCATATTGACCGCGTGTAGTTCACATTGACACACGTG